GGGTGGTTATTGTACCCTCTCACCCATCTTTTTCTCTAGTTGTTCCCCAACCTCATCCCTCAGTCTCCTCTCCTGTGCCCTGAGTGAGAATCAACTCTAAGACCATGTCTTTGATGGATGACAGTGACCCTCCGGGGAGCTGCAGCAGAGCCCTGCCTTCCTTGAGAGGGCTGGCTGCGGGCCGAGTGCTGCTCCGGTCAAGTGTGCGGCAGACTTCCCACGGACTTCAAAGGGAGCATCTTTGGTCTTCCAAGGGCGCTGCCTCTGAATCACAGACGTCAAGGATGGAAAAGACCTGTTAGGTCACATCCCGTCCTATCTTCCTGCCGAAGAAGGGCATTTCTGCACAGGAATATGTCTCAAGAGTGTTCATCTTGCGTTGCTTCAGCCCCTGCCAGCCTGGGGATCACTGATAAGACCCATGAGACTCTGCAGAGCCCCTCGCAGACACAACCAACAAACATCCTCTGGCTGAAGCTCTGGTTCCTGTTGGTCCCAGCCCACTGCTGTGCTGATCTCCCAAAGCAGAGGATGGTGCCAGTATCCTTTCCTTTCTAGCAGACAGCTGCATTCCTTTGGATTAGTGTGAAATTTCAGTTGCAGTTCCTTCCTAATTCCTTTTAATCATTGCAAATATTGCAGGCAAGATGGTGAGCTGCGCTGCCGCTTGGCAGAAATCAGTGAGGTCAGATAAGGGAAATATTTTCATTAACTGCACGGGAACTTGAGCTCTCCCCTGGTTCCCCCTGGCTCTGAGCAGACCTGCTCAGCTCCCGTCTTCACAGCTCTCCCACCAAAGCACTGATGTCTGTTCGGCTCAGGCGTGATGAGCAAGAAGGTGACAGAAGGAAAGGGCTTGGTGCTCACCAGGGGCATGACGGATGCCTGCTCGCATTACCTCCTGCCAAAAATCTGTGTAGCGCAGACCCCATCGGAGCTGGGAGTGTTACACCTGCGTGGCCACACCGGTGTCAGGCATTTTTCCCATTTCTAAGATGCTCGCTCTGGTTTGGGTTGGACTTTGAAGATTTCGTGGCATCCAGGTGTGTCATTGACACTCTTCACTCCAGCGTGTGCAAATCTGTCCCATTTTCCCTGCTGGCTTTATGTTAAAGAAGGGATAAAACCAAAGTTCACTTTCTTTCCCCCCCCCACCGCCTACTGCTTGGGGAAGCTTTGGATCTGGATCTGAACTAAGTGGTTCATTCCTCTCTCAATTTCCCATGTTTAATTCAAAAGGAAACATTAAAATGGCAGGAGCTGAGCCAAGACAGGGAGGATTCATATGAAATAGTTATTCTAACACTGTTACCGTGGCAAAAACTCTTATCTCCTAATGTTGGTGCCCCGCACCCATCACGGTTGTATCTGAGCTGCTCGAGGTGAATCTCTTCCCGTGGACGTACGGGGCAGCTCCAGTTTGGACTTTGCTGTAGCGTGTGGGAAAAGTGTTGTGTAATCCCAGTCAAGGGTTTTGTCAACTGTGTTAGCACTGAGATCTTTCTTGGAATGTGTAGCAAACGTCCTACAAAACAGTTTGGTTTTTATTTTGGTTGGTTTTTTTTTTAAATCAAAACACAAAAGAAAGAGAGCAAAACAGATGAGGAAAAAAGACACTAGCTTGCCTTCTTGTGTTGTAACTGGACAGCGTCTGTGCATCAGCCTCAAGGATTTCGTGGTCTGTTTTCCTTCCACTCGATTTAACTTCCTTCTTGCTCTAATTCTGAAATTATTCCCACATTTCACTGAATCCTTCCAATTTAGTTTCCATCTTGCTTTGGTCTTTCACGCTGCTGTTTGATCTGGGATCTCCACTGTTCTTGTTACATCGGTGTCGAAAGAGACTTGGGTGTTTCTGCTGCCCGAAGCTCTTGCTTTCAAAATAACTCTCGGCTTACTGCATCTGGGGGCCAGGTATTATGGTCTGAGGGCAAGTGCCGTTGGCGGGTGCATAATGCTGCCAAAGAACTGAAGGCAAGGATTTGGAGAGAGATTTTGTCGGGCAAAAAGAAGCCCTTTGTGCCACCAGACTCAGCCGTTTCCAGCTACCTCTCTGATTCCCTCTACCTCTCTACTCTGGAGCGATGGGGACAACACTTAGCTTTGCCTTTTCTTTGACTGCCAGCTTTGCAAAGAGGGTCTTACAGGGTGTATCTCGAATCCCATGGGACACCTCGTGCTGTTTCCAGCAGGAGGGGCCTGGAAGTGGCTCTGTCCCTTTCAGGTTGGTGTTACCAGCAGAGAAGTTTCTGCTCCGTGCAACTGCCACCGGAGGTCAACGCAGCAGTGACACTGGGTATTCCCAGAGAATAAATAGATTCCCTGCCTCCTCAGGGGTATCAGTAGTGGATGATGTGTATAGAAAAAGGCCCTTTGAAGTTTGTTGGCTTGCTCCTGGAGAAGTCGGATACTGCTGGCCACCTCGGCTATATTATACAAACCAAATGGCCCATAGGGCCAACAGCATTAAAATCCACATGCTCGCGGATAAAGGTGATCCAACCAGTTGTAGTTCGTTTGGATGTCCATAGGTATTATGGCAGAACTCCTCCCCAGGAGCGTTTGAAGAAACTGAGCAGCTTGGACAGGCGTGTGGATTAGTGATGGGGGGACAGGCGGGGAACAGTGGGTAGGGAAAAAGGGCTGGTTCCTGCGGGGAGGGATGTCACGGGTGGACAAACCAGGGTCTGACTCTGAGCTTAGCTCTGCTTCGAGCAGGGAGTTGGGTTGGAGACCCCAAAGGTCCCACCACCTGAAATTGTGACTGTGTGAGCTGTGCTGCTGAGAGTGTTCATAAATGACCTGGAAAGGTGGGTGAGCAGTGAGATAGGAAGTTTGCTGACAATACTCCAGCAAAAGGTATGGTTACTTGCTAAAGGCATGAAGGATAAGAAGAACTACAGAGGGACCTTATGACTCTGAGTGACTAAGTAATAATATGGCAGATGAAATACAATGTAGATAAAGTGAAGTGATGCATATAGGAAAAACCATACCAGATTCCACGTACAAAATGATAGACCCTGAGCTGACCATTATCTCAGATGAGAGAGACCTCAAGGTTTCTGTACATGGTTCAATGGAAATCTCAGGTCAGTGCCTGGTAGTGGTCACAAATTAAATCAGGAGTGATCAGAAAAGGAATATTAAACAAAAGAGAGAACATCAATATCTGTTAGATAAATATGCAGAGCACCCACAACGTGAATACTCCGTGTTGTTCTGGTCCTTCCAGCTCTGAAAGGACATGTAGGACTAGGAAAGGTTCAGGGAAGAGCAGCAGGGATGATCGAAGTTATGGGATGGCTTCCACACAACTGTCAGCTAAGGAGGTTCAGTCTTTTCCTTCTGGAAAAGAGGCAGAAGAGATGATGGAGGGCTAAAAATGTGTGTCACAGAGGAAACGAGTAAAGATCCATTGTCCTCTCTTCTAGTACAAGAACTGGGGAATCTCAAGTGAAGACAGAAGGAGCTAAGTTCAAAACAGTCAAAAGGAGGGCTGTGTTACATACAATGGGGAGAAAACTTCACAAAAGGATGTTGCAGGTGTTAAAAGTTGAAAGGGGTTCAGCTTACCGGACCGAATTCATGGACAAAAAGATCTATCATGGGTTGCTAAATACAGAGGATGCACATCTAGCTGAGGTTATGGAGCTGATGTTAGTTGGAGCCTGGCAGAATACCTGGGAAATACTATTATATGCCTGAGCTGCCCTGCTTCTCCCTTGGCATCTGCGTGTGACCGCTGTGGGATTTGTGGAGGGGATGAACCCGTCCTACCTTACGTAAAGTCAGGGAGATCACTCCAGGGATGAGCCTGGCTTTGTGTCTCTGCAGAGAAAAGAGAAGCTGAGGCATGAGCATGGCAAGAAGCGTTAAAAAAATCTCCAACCATAAGCAGAGTGTGACATCCTAGAGATGAGGAGGATGGAGACTGGTAGGGAGGCAGATGGTAGAGGGACATTGAGGCATCCCAGTGATTGATGTAGCATGAAAACTTAGATTGACAGGCTGACAGATGGCCTGAGTGGCTGGGATAGATTTCAGGTAAACGCCTGGCTCCAGTTTCCCATAGGCAATAGACTCTTGTGCATTAAAGGATGAATTTTAGCAATTTTGCAAACTAGCAAACAGGGCCCCAAGCCTACTGAACTCAGAAGAAGATCTCTCTTTAAGCTAGACATGTCAAAGTTGTGCGCCTAAAATTGAGCGTATACGTAGTGTTTTGCTGGATCGCGATCGAAAAGCAATCAAACCTTCTGCAGCAGGAAACATATACTGTTCAGTTATTTAGACACATGCTGTTTAGTTTGAATTGTTTGAATGTTTCACATTACACTAGAAATCTTCAAGGGTAAAGAAATAAACCACCCAAGATAGGGCCAGGGCCCTGAACCAGGCCCTGGTTTGGTCTCTTCTGGGAGGTGAGGTACCGTCATGGGGTGTTTCAGCAGACAGGAATTACTGCCTCCGGGTCCTGCTCCTACAACAGTATCGTGTTTTTGCACGGGCTGGAAGTCACGATCGATGCTGTTTGAGCACAAAACCACCAGGTTGTGAAATATTTGCTCATACTCCCCTTATTGCCTTATTCTGCAAGACCTGTGATGGCATTGGAGCTACTTGCAGGGAGTAGGTTACTCAAGACGAGTAACTGGGTGGCATGGGGGTTGCAGGTTTCCGAGAAAAACAGGGCCTCCGAGAAGCGAACTGAAAGGCAGGCAGACGTCCCAGGCCGTATCCTGCCATCGCGTTTTAAGCAGAACTGCCCCGCTGAAATCAAGAGGCTTCGTGCTGCTTTCATCCCCATGGAGATCAGCAGGGGAGTTCTTCTTAAAAACCTGTTGGGACCATATGGCCTTTTATCACTAGAGTTCCTATTTATGTTAAAAACTGCTAAGAAAATAACCTACAGTTGTTTTGTCATGCTTCAAGCAAGATATTTTGTTTATCTGGCCTAATTTTTAATCTATTTTTTTTTTCCCTGTTACCCTTTCTAGGTTCCCTGCTATTCTTATGGTCAAAAGTTGTCCAAACTGGCCATCTTGAGAATAGCCTGTAACTATATCCTTTCCCTGGCCAGACTAGCAGACCTGGATTACAGCGCTGACCACAGTAACATGAGCTTCTCTGAATGCGTGGAGCAGTGCACTAGGACCTTACAAGCAGAAGGAAGATCTAAAAAAAGGAAGGTATGTTACAGCCTCCCCCCTCTTGCCCCCCAAATAACGGTAAAAGTTACAAAAGGGGAAAAAAAGAAAAAATCCAAAGCGGTTTCCTTCCTTTCTCAGCCTCTTGAAATTTTCCTGATTTTTCTATCCCTTGCCTTTCTCTCTCACTTTTTCTCCTCCGTCCGTCTGATCTTGTAATAACCGCATTCCTCTCTAATCAAAAGCTTTTCTCTCCTCCCCATCCTCTGCGCCGGGCTCTTCCTCTCGTTAGTCGCCCATCGTGTGTTTTAACACAAGCGTGATCCTATTAGAGTCATCTTGGGGCTGTTATTTGTTAAACCAAACCAACCTCAAGTCGCCTTTTGGAGCCCATAAAACACGATCGCCCGCCTGTGTTTTCTGTTTTGTTTAATCTAACACTTATCTCCGAGAAAAATCACCCGACAACAAAAAAAAAGTAGCTAATGGAGACGTTGTATGTATAAACACATTAGTAAGATGTATGACCTGAAGGACATGTGGGTATCTTGAGGAAACAACGTTAAATCTAATTACGCCTTGCATTCCTTTAGGTTACTTAACACTGAACCAATTAGGTGAAATCATCGTCAAGCGGCGGGAGGAGGAAGCGGAGCGTTCTGCCAGTTTTCCTCTCGGAGAGTGACATGGGTGAATTAAAGGAGTGATTGATGTCTTTGTTCGGGCTTTTATGACAAAAAGAGTTTTGTAAACTTGAATTGAACTTCCCCCTGCTTTCTGGGCTCGCTTGTCAGGCAGGATAATAAATCAGCGGGGTTTTAATGGATGAATGGGCAGCTAAGCCGGGGAGCGGGCTCCTTCCCCGATGTCATTAAGATCTGCCTCCAATTCGGGCAGGTTTCCTCACTTTTCCTCTTCTTTAGCCCAACGAATCATCCTGCAGCAATTCAGTTTATAAATAAACACAATAGCACACTCCCTGTCGCTTCCTCTCGCTGTCACGGGCTGTATTTATGCCCCCGGAGCAGCAGTGCCAGGCGGAGACGCGGCACCGCTCGCCCACGGCCGACAGCACTGGCTGAAACTGGGAGGTGCGGGGGGAGCTCCTGAGCCCGGCCCGAAATTGGGGGTTCATTGTGGGATCCATAGTGCCGCAGGCGGTGGTGTCCCAGGGACACTGATGTGATGCCACCAACCCTAGGCAAGGTGAGAGTTGGGTCTTGGGTCCTCTCCCCAAGTTGAGATGGGGGAGAAGAAGAGGATGAGCATCCTTCTTGGGGCTTCAGCAGATCTCTGGGCTGGTGTTCAGGCTTTGGGTGCCCGATGGGCTGAGACCCATTGTCTTGGCTTATGTAAACCAATGCAAGCTTAAAGACAGAATACACGGAGCCAGATTTCAAACAGCTCCAAACCCCAGGGTGTTCACATCTGAGGGCTAGGGCTGGGCCCATCCTTAATTAAAAAAATAAATTAAGAATTAAAAGCCTTCCATTTATGGCATTTGTTCTCTAAAGTTCGCTCCGGAGCGGACGCATGGAGAAAAGCCCCAAGCCCATCGAGAGTGCATGAACAATGAAACTCTCACGGGGTGTCAGCACATCCCGCCTCCCAACAGGCCACCGCCAATCCGCAGAAACAGCGTCACTGGGAGAAAATCTGTCTTTTCTCCACGTTCTTGAAGGACACCCACCCCAACCCTTCTCCAAAGGCCCTCTCCAAAAAGAAAGCTGAGCTTTGTACCCGAGGCAGGGTCTTGGTCCCTGCTCTGCCTTGCTTTTCTTTCTGGAAAGTGTCTTGCAAATGCATTTCTGCTATTTGGGAAAGTCCAAGTTTAGGGCAGCCCAAGAGCCTGTGGATTCCCCTGGCTGATAACTATCATTTTATTTCCAGCAGTATTTGCTCAGGTGATGGCAAGAGCACATTCAGCTGATGATGAAGCCAAAACCAGTAGGTACCACTAGGTAACACCAGTAATTCCCAGCAGATAGGAATGGGGATGCAAAGCCTGGGTTGGGAGGACTCATCTTGGTATCTCCCTTTCTCCTTGAGCCAAGCAAATTGATGGCATCGTGAGCACGAGGGAGGGAAATGCAGTTGTCAGAGGGAAATTATAGGTCTGGGATGGCTGTGCAGGGAATATCCAAGCTCTGGATGTCAGGTGGTGTGAAGGGATGTCTCTCCCAGCGGGTCTCAGGCGGGCGGCTGGATGAGGATACAATAGCTTGGCCCAAAATCACCACACCCTCATTAATTTTGAAATCGGCACGTTTTTCTAAGCTGTGTGTGTTTTTAATAAGGTCTCCGAAACCACTGCTTACTGAGCAGTTCCTCTGAATTATCAACTTTGGGGTGGTTGTTACATTTTTGTTGTTGTTTTTTGGGTTTCCTTTTTTATTCTCTCTTAAAAAAAAAATCACAGCAAGCCCGAGCACAGACCTCCGCTCCTTGAGCTCTACCGTTGGGTCCACAGCACCCTTATCTCCTCTCATCTCCATTTTATTGTGTCTCTGCCTCTATCGCTCGCTCTCTCAGCTCTCCGATTGCGATGTGCTATGGCACCGTGAGCTTTTCACACAAAAAAGTAGCTGGTTGGAGTTTGTTTTGGCAGGCAGGGGCTCCAGATGTTGCATTTGCTGGATTGTGCATTGCCTTTTGCTTTGTTTTTGAGGGCGAATTATCTGCTGTCCCTAACGTTAGGTTGTTGTTCAGACTTTGCTGTTGCAATAGGAAGTTTAATGGGTGTTTTTTCCCCCCCTTTCCACTCCATTTTGTTAATTAGAAGAGTTGGCTTTAGCCTTTCAAACTTGACTAGGAAGAAAAAAATCCCTTTTCCAGTCCTAACTGCAGTTATATGGTAATTTTAGTTGTTGCGACTGAGACTTGACTGAGGGTGTTTGGTGATGGGAGATCTCGTTTATAAGCAGCAAAGGGGGTAATTGAAGGGCTTCAAGTGCCTTTTCCTTTAAAAAAAAAAAAAAAGCTGCATGGGGGGGTGGTGAATTCTGATGATAGTCTTCATTTTTTAAAGCTGCCTTTTGCTTGGTTATACAAATGATCTGGACTAAGCCTTGTCCTTCACCATGCACGCAAGAGTCGCACCACGTCAGAGATTTGGGTTGCGACACCCTCAGCAGAGCCCTGAGTCCTGCTGGGGCCACGCTGATGTCCCGGGAAAAGGCAGGGATCTGCCTTTGGCTCCAGCCAAGAGCATCTTCTGGCAGCGCTGAGGACGCGACAGCAAAAGGAGGTGGATCAGAAAGGGGAGCCCAAGTTTCCTTATCCCTGGTGTACCCTGTTTCTGCATAGGACATGATCCCGAGTGGCCAGAGGTCATCTGAAAGCCTCGCACGGATTTTGTAGGGTTTCGGGTCCAGCCTGCTGTTTGCACAGTCTCTTTTTATAGCCTTTCCCCCCCCAGGGCCAAATTCTGGTGCCCTGTAGGAAGGCGGCGTTATGGCTCAGGGTAGGGTTAGGGCTTTAGGATGCATGGCTGGGTGCTCTCCCTGGAGACTGGTGTTTTTCTGCGTGCAGAGCTGTGCACCGCAGCCCCCCCACATCCCCCAGCCCCACAGGATCCAGCCCCCAGGGCTACGGGGCAGACCTTACCTCCCCACCAGGCAGCACAACCACAGCCCTTCAGTCTACACAGAGCAGGATCCGACCGCTAACAAATACCCTATACAACGCACCCAGCACCCAGCACTGAACAGAAAAACCCCGAGCGCTAAAAAAAACAAACCCAAACTCCCATCGCAAGGTTCATTTTCTTTTCCTTCCCCTCTCCTCTTTGCTTTTGATTAGCCCTCGCGCTAGGCAGCAACATCGCTGCGGCCATGGGAGCGAAGCCGGAGCGGGGAGGGATGGGTGAGGGATTTTTTTCGCTTCATCCTCCCCCCGTCCCGGCTCTTCTGGCAGTCGCAGACTCCAGATGTTCGGAGCGCGAGCTGGGAAGTCCTGCTGGCGCCACTTGGGGCAGAGGGCAGGGGAAAGGCACGCGAGCTGGAACCCAGAGTACTCAGTCACTGCAGGACTTGGCGCATTCCCCAGCTCGCTGCTGGCACATTCCCCGGCTCTCTCCTGGCCATCTGTTCCAAAAAAACACTTTCAGAACCTCATCATCACTCAGGATACAACACTGCGAGCAGCTGTTAGCGAGGCAGAAGGAAAAAAAAAAAAAAAAAAAACCACACACACACATAAAAAAAAAAAAAACCCAACCCCAAACCATGCGAAAGGTCTCTTTGTGAGAGAGGAAACTGGGTTATGAATAACAGGCGAGCAGTTGGAGCTCAATAAAAGTTTTCGGCTGGAATTTAGTTTCTTGTTTTTGTGCCTGTGTGTGTGGATGCGCACAGACGCAAGGAATTAAAAATGTGCTCTCTCTATATATATTTCTATATTCCCTGATCATTAAATGATATAGAAGCATACATAGAACGAAAAGCCACTCTATTTGTTGCAGTCTGCTGCGCTAAAATGGCTCACATTGTGTATGTAATTATTGCATTATATAAAATAGTTATTGTGGTGTTCTGCCATGCCTTGATGCCACCTCATTGCTACTTGGCTAAAAGCAGAGCTCCCGCTGTAGGTAACACTTACTCCCATTGAAAAATTCAAAGGAGGGCACTCTGCGGGTGTATTTACTTGCAGAAGTGAACAAGTTAAGGGTTTATATTATAAAAGAGAAATGGTAGTGGCAGGCTTGATTTGTACGGCACTGAAACCCTTCGCTTGGAGCATATTTTTCCTGTAACACTGTATCATGACTCGTGATTTATTTAGACAGAGCCCTGAGATAAAGCCACAGCTCCCACCCTCTGGTTTGTGCAGATGATCCTGGCTGCAGGGGCTTGCTGTTATTGATCATCTGATATTGATTATTATAACACATTTGGAGCCAGCACAGTAAAAATCTTGATGATCTGCATGGCATTTCTTCCTCGCCGCTTCCCGTCCTGTGCGGGTTGGGGGGGGGGTCTGATAATGAGGTTCGACCTCCCTTTCTCTGCAGTTTGACTTAGCAGAGGTTCCTCTTTAAAAATAGCTTCATTTCCCTGCTAGGACTTGCAGGCGAGAGCGGGCAGCCAGCCAGTCTGCTTCCCCACGGCCGCCGGCTCCGCGGGCCCCGGGGAGGAGCTGGACCACAGGAGAGCAGCGACCCACTCCGAGCCGTCCGGCTGCCTGCGGGAGAGCGGGACGGCAGCATCCCCAGGGGAGGGGGGCCTGGATCCACCTGGCCATGAGTTACCCCTGCCCTGTGCTAGCTGAAAGATTACGCACCAGGGGAACAGACCTGCTTAAAAATAAGGTGGCGAGGGGGTAGTGAGGCTGCGTAAGCGCCGTAGCGGGTTCCCGTGCTTATCGCTTGCGTTTGATATGTCCCTGCAACCTGAACCAGCAATTGCAAATGGGGCACGGGTGTGAGGCTAAGGGCTCATGATGAGTTCATGAGCGAGTTCACCCAACGCCGGGCAGGGAGGCAGCAGCAGCTATGTGCATCCCCGAGGGCACTGCACACCCTGCGTCGGGGGGTTGAGCATCAGTACCCCAAAGAGCAGGACTGAAAGCTTTTCCTGGCAAAAGGGATGTGATGTGGGACCCCGCTGTTGCATGGCAGCACCCCAAAACCCCTTTTGCTTTAAGGTGTGTTGGAGCAGCCGCATCGTAGCATGCAAAGGCTGGGGCCGGGGATTCACTCCCATGGTGGGAGCAGGGTCCCAGCGTAGGCTCCGTTCCCTTTGTAGCAAGGCTATTACCAAGAATAGGGTAAGATCCACCCCACAGATATCGGGTAACTACGGCAAAAGGAAAATGTGAGTAGAAGAGACAGGAGAAGCCCTGGAACAAAGGCTGACTCAATTCCAGAAGTGCTTTGATTTATAGAGATTGAAATGCTCCGGGATGCTGCAAACTCACCAAGGTCATTGGGCCAGTTGTCAAATTCAAGAGTCATGGGAGTTCTGATATTATTAGTTTAAAGCAGACCCTGGTTAATAAATCTGTCTTCAGAGCTCCTGGCTGGAGTGGAAGAAGGTGGAGGGGGGAAAGAAAGGAGCCTGTTCCCACCTAACATAACGCATGGCCAGCGTCGGGCAGCACCTGGGGACCAACCAAGTGATGCCAACAAGGTCTGCTGAGATCCTCCACCGTGTTGCAGAGGGATCTCTCCATTCCTCTTTCCATTTTCTTTGCCTTGAAGGTACGGCCCTTACCTGCCCTTGGCTGGTTTGCACATACTCCCTCTTGCCCCCCATGGCTGATCTTCCCCAAGTGCAAAGACTTCAGAGCAGAGACCTGCCGCTGAGGCTCCTCTTCCTAAAACCATCCTGCTTCCCAAAACCCACCAATGCTTTTTATCAGCATCGAGCACCCTGAGCTAAAGGGGAGGGTCTCTCTGAACGAACTCAAGAGATGTTATAGCTCATGGTAATTTCTAACTGCAATCTCAGGTCCTGTTTGTTCAGCACTCTAAAGAGCACCGGAGGCACAAGAGAGGGGACCGGGGGCTCTGTGACTCCAGTGGCTTTGGCTTAGGGCATGAGGCTGCTATTGCTGGGTAATTCGTTCCTGCAGTGGAAAAGGTTTTGCTTGCTAAGACTGCCATTCCAGAAGGGAACAGGGGGGATTTGTTTCTCTACTGTCTTTTAATATTAATGAGAGCGGTCATTGCTTCCCTCCTTTTTCTTCTTTTACGTTTGCTTTCCATGTGGGATAAATTAAACAACCGATTTTTCTATTACAGGTTATTAATATATAATATTTATTGTTGGAAAATAATTTTAGGGGGTTCCTAACAAAAACATTTATGATACAGGAGGCTGTTTGTCATTCTCCCACCTAAACCTCATTTATTCAAAATCCCAAATCCCAATTAAGGCCTTGAATTAGGGCAATAGTTTCTACGTTCTCCTGCTCCAAGCAGCACTAGGTAGTGTCTTACAGTCAGCAGAGACACCTCCTTATTGATAATAATTGCAATAACGAGCTCTGTTTTCAGATTTGGCATGTGCCAGATGTGAAGAGTTCATTATTGCTTATGTAGGAGAGCAACCGATGCGGGCTGGGACCGATGGAGTGACGTTTATCCGGGGACTTTGTTATCGCTGGGATGCGGTGGGATGCAGCCAGCCCACGGCTCCGTCCTGTCCTCCAGCAGAGCTGCACGGCCAAACACCTCCTCCACCGTATCCAGATGTGCTGACCCCAACTCCAGGAGTCTGGGGTCCAGCAGAGACCAGCATTTCTTGCATGGAGGATGACCTGGGCCCTTTCAGCTAAATACTCTTATTGAGGGAAATCCTGATGGTCCTGGGGCAATCCTGTGCTTCCCAGGGTCTTCACAGGAGGGGGTGGTGAGGTGGATTTTGGGTCCCCCTGCCCCTTAGCCTGGCGTGGATGCTCAGCTGTGATGGTTGATCTCACAAGCAACTGCCCTAATGATAGTAATAAATAAAATTAAAATAAAATAAAATAAATAAAATAAATAAAATCGGTATCTTAGTAACATTTTATACCTTAATGTTACAATATCCAGTAATGGAAAAGGAGAGGCAGTACAGAAACAAAACAGATTAAGGAAAAAATGTTTTTCAGGCCAAGCTCTAAGGAGTTTGACCTTTTTAAGACTGTCAGAAAGACGTCTGATCTGTCCAGGGAATTGATGACCGTGTCCAAAGGACCTTCAGAGGCCGTACTGCACCCTGAAAGGCTCTTAAATCCACTGGCAAAAAGCAAGAAACAGTGGTTGGACTCGGTAAATGGGATCTCATTTCCAAGTTTCTAATTCCTAAGTTACTTACAGGAGGATTTAGGAGCCCACGTGATGAAGGCAGTTTGGACAACGCAGATGTGATCTCGTGAAAGAGCAGGCCTTGAGGATTTTACTCTGTTTTGAACTATGCTAGCAATTGTTTGTGGGATATTCGCGGGGCTTATTTTAATGTTAAAGGGGGTTTAGATGAGGTTTTCCCTGTCTGAAGCTGCTGTGCTTTGGAGTTGTGCATTTTCCAACGGACCTGGCCGTAATACTCTGTAGCCAAATGCAGTTACCCACGTACATCTGCCACGGCCGTGACTCACAGAGGGGTGCGCAGGCACAAGGGACAGGTTGCAGTCCTGCAGGCTGAGAAGCCGTGCATGCAGAAAAGTAAATGCAATCACTGAAATACAGAAATAAACCCCATATCCTACACAAATCCAGCTTGTCCCAACTCCTTTGCTTTCCCTCTGTAATTCTGAGATCCGCTTCTGAAGCTGAAAATAGACCCAAAAAGCTGCAGGCCTTGTCAAAAGCAGGTATTTGCCATCATTTCTAATTTTTTTGCAGCAGGAGCTGGAGCCAGCACCTAATTACCTGGTTGCATTTCTTCCCCAAACCTTCCTCGTCGCCTCTCTGCCGGTCCCTCTGCTCTGTGTGGGCTCTGGCCACCGTTGTGGCACCTCCAGGTGGTTGCTCTGCAAGCCCAACTCTTAGCGAGTCCCATGGCCAGCGGTCCCCGAGGACACCCCAGCGTGTGTCAACGACGGTCGTTCGTGCAAGGAGCCGCCGGGACACCATGCATTTGCTGTTCTGATGGTGCATCTTTCTCTTTCCAGGAGTAATAACCAGGAAGGGAGGATTCAGAAGAGCTTCCAGCCAGAGTTACATCTGTTCTTGGCAAAGGTTGCATGATCCAGATGAAGACTGCAAGCAGCTTTTTTGCAGAAACCCCTTTTCGAGATGACAATTGGCCAAGGAACTTTCTTAATCTCTGGAACAGAAAGGAAAAAAGGAAAAGAAAAAAAAAAAAGAAGGACAGGGATGCTTCTATTGTTGTTAAGCCAGCCACCTTTTAGTACGTGCAATTTATTTAGCACTTTTCCCTTTGCTTAACTGGGAAATGTTACCCTCTCAGCTCATGTGTACAGTAATTTTTTGTTGTTGTTGTTGTTGCTGTTGTGCCAAAGATTTGATGGAGCTTCTACACTGTGTCTTATTTTTGCCTTAACGTTAAATCTTTGAGCCAAAGAAAAGTCAGAGGTGCCATTCAGATGGTGGCAAGCAGGCCAGCCAGCTGTCGGTGACAAATCCGAATTTCTGAATCCTTCTGTGAGTCGCCTCTTATTTCTCCTGTCCGCACTTCTCTACCTGCAGCCCTGGAGCCAGCATTCAGTGTGGGCAAGAGCTGGGACAACACCAAGTCGTGCTTCAACGTTCAGGTTTGCTTCTTTCTTTGAGCTACTCCGTAGTTCTGCCTTTTGGGCAATTTCCTGACGTTCCTGCCTGTGCGACACATCCACAGGGTAGAAATACTGACACGAAGTGAGAGCTGAAACAGGAGCTATGAATTTTTTTTTTTTTAAAATAAATAAATAAAATTAAATAAGCAAAAGCTAAGTGCCATGTAAAGCAAAAGGAAAAAAAAAAAGAAATCAAAAGAAAGTTCAGCTAGGCAGAATGAAATGCAGCAAAACGATTCAGCGGGTGTTTCAGGTTTGTGTAGTCGTTTTTTCCGTGGGGTTTTTCAAGTGGTCAGAAACCCGTGTAATGCAAAAGCATTTGAATCCTATACTGTACCTTTCACTTCAAATTGAAGTAAAAAAAGAAAAGATTGAGAAACATTTGCTTGGAGTAAGCAGACTTTATAGGTAATGCAGTTCGTATGCAAAACATCTGCTAATGATGCGGGGACAGAGCTCTGCACTCAAGTAAAAAAAAATATGGGTTTCCAAACCAAGATTAACATATTTTGTTTCCCACTCAAGGGGAAAGGTTATTTACGAGGCCAGATTCGCATCCTGGCTACATCAGCATAAATCAGGTTCCCGGGTGTCTGACTTACTCCGGTCTGCATCTGGCCGGGCATCGCCAGGCGCTGGGGAGGGCGAGGGGCTGGGGCGGGCAAGCATCAGCGGGCAGGGGAGGGGAATAGTCTGTTTTACTGACATGAATACAAAACTGGAACTCCCCAGTGCCTGCCTGTTTATTTCCCAAGCTGAGCAATTGGCAGATGAACGCCAGGCTGGGGAGGGGGTATGCAAAACCCGAGCTCACCGGAGCAGGGTCTGGGTCTGGGGGGAGCCAGGCTGTGCGGTGACGGTCTGCTCGCTGCCAAGTCCCCTGGCCCAGGCGAGGATGGGTGAGCTCCCGGTGAGGATGCTTGAGGTGCCTTCTACGTGATTTCTGGGACACGCGGGGGATGGCTGTGTCCAAGCCGCCTCCCAGGAGCTTATTATACTGCTCACCCCTCTGGGCTCACCACCGGTCATTATTAGCAGCCCAATAAAATACATTTTTAGATTGTCATTCGTATTTCTTTATTAAAGCACAGTTGTTAACCCTGTCTTTCATTATATACATTAAGACCAGCTTTTTAGCTTATAACAGGGAGAGGGGTTGAGCTCATGGACCGCAGGAAACACTGCAAGGGTGTTCACACCCATGTCAAAGGGGTGGGTTTAAAGTGCATTTGCTTTTGAGAACCAGCAAGCGGCTGGACCTCACGACTGTGGCCCAGCCGCAGAAAACAGTGAGAGAAAGGGAACTGGAAAGCAGTAAAAAAAAAAAAAACAGCATGGCAGGGTGACCTAAAGGGGGAACTGTGGATTTTGTACGAGGCCATGCTGCAGTTCTCCCATCTGGGTTTTGAGCAAAAGCAATGTAACTGGGGGCTAAGGAAACCCCGTGGGCATTTCTGTCTTCAAGCAGCGTCCAAAATTCATCAAGCATTTTTAATTTGAGAAATACCATCGTATTTTAGTCACGAGTTCTGCAGTGGCTCTCGGTTTCTGAGAGTTAATAATGATCAGTAAGGTAAGGTCTGCAGGGAAAGTCAGCAATACAATACTGCTGATATTATTTATTCACCCTTTTTTTTTTTTTCCTTTCAATTCCTGTTGATAGATAAGGAATTTGCTGCAAATATGTAAGTCACAAGCTGGGCGGCATCATCGGGTTGCAACTGGGGCTTTTGGTTATGCACTATTGTTTGTCCCCCTGATTAGGGAAACATTAACCCTTGGGATCAAGTTGCTTCCTTTACAAATTCCCAAATTCACTTTCCTTAAACATTCCATGCTATTCCCACCCTACCACTGCCCTCCGGTAAATGCAGGCAGAAAGATAGCCCTTAAAAGTTTTTAAAAAAAAAAGTTTAAGTGAACAAGCCTCTGCAAGAAGCTGCGTGGATGCTTTTGCATCCCAGTGGGAGGTCGGGCGAGGCGAGAGGAGCGGCAATGGCCATCCCTACCACTGCCCCGTGCTGCCCAGCCCAGCTCCACCAACAAACTCTGAGAACGACAAGGGTAAATTTTTACCAAAGGGTAGCAAACATGTGAGATTGAACACCGTAGCGGAGGTGACACTGCTTTCCTGACCAGGCATGTAGCCGGGGTCAGCCAAGGTACAGAGCCAACCTTACCTTGCTCCTCCCCAGCAAACATGACGAGTGATCGCTCTCCTCTGCCGGTAACAAGGTAATGATGTTTGTATCGTGCTGGAAAAGCAAAACAGCCCTCGTGCTGTCACCTCTCCGGGGTCAGCAGAGCCAAAGCCTTTGCTCCCAGTTGGCACCGGCCCCCAGCTCCAAGTCTTGGATGGGAGGGCACGGGAGCCCTTGTAACGCAGCCCCCGCATAGGACGTTTTGCAGGAACTCGGCTGACCGTGACCCACCATGGGACAGAGGGCAGATGACGTTCATTAGGCAAAGGGGATGCTGAGAGGCCAGTGGGATTTATTTGTGTTTTTCCCAGATGCTGGATGCCCTATTAAACCAGAAATCACACACCAAACCAATAACATCGCCTGGACGTAAAGCACTGCACCCCATTAATGCTCATACCACATCCACTGCTCAGATGCCAGCTGCAGTGGGTGAAGGGCATTAGCATTTGCCCTTACTTCTGATCTAACAATCACTGAGAGAATTTAGCAGCCAAGGAAATACAAAAGGTGAGGATCAAGGTGAGGGTCATCTTAGGAATGTGGCAACACCACCAGACTTATTGGAAGTATTGCACAGGATTTGCAGCAGCAGTCACCATCTACCTGCTTGTTAGATAAATGTCCTCGCAGCTGCCAAGTCCTTCTTGCACAAGGAGCCCTGCCCTGCACAGACACCTCTATATCCAAACATCTTCAAGCCAGGTTTTTGTATCAGCTTAAGTTGCCAGGGGTTGAAACACTGTCTACAGAGTCTCAAAAATACCGTGTGTAATAATCTGCCCCATAAAGCCAGATTCTTCTTTCTTTCAAAGGTTTTCTGTTGCTTGCTGGGGGTGGGATCAGCAGAGCAGCAGGGGAGCAGTAGGACCTTTCCTACTATTTCTACCCTTGAATGCTGAGCATGAAAACACCACAAGAGCAGTCACACTGCAAAAGGACACAGCTCACTAAGTGCCTGGGCCTCTGAAAACATCCCTGCCTGTTTCATGTAAGTCAACAGCTCCTACTTCCCAGCCCCTTGGGCTCATTAAGCATTGAGGAGATAAAGCACTGGGCGAGCGAGCCCAGAGCCCCCACACGAAGGACCAGCCTCCTCTGTGCAGAGACCCCTACAGTGGTGCTGCCCCTGCTTGAATCCCAGCCATGACCAGGCCAAGCCCGGGCAAAAAGCAAGGTGGGATGGACCCCAAAAGTCTGCGTCGACCTGGGATGGGGAGTCCTGGCCACCATGCTTGAATATTTTCTATTGTGAAGTGGCTCAGCTCATGCTCTGCTGTGTGTCTCCATCGAGGGTGGTGGTATTATTTTGGCTTTATCCTGATGCAAACTCATGCTAGTGCTTTTTATTGGAAGTAGCTCTTTGTAGACCAATGCAACCACATTTGCATGACAACTCTCGCCAGACTCAGGTGAGCACCTCCATCTCCCTCAACTCATGGGTTGAGATAAGAACAGTTTAATAATTGAATAATAACAATAATAACAATAATAACACACAAAGCAAGTGATGCACAATGCAAT